ATTATAAGTATCTTATTAATAAAGATTGGGGAAAGATAACTTAACACGTTCAGAAAAATCCTTTTTAATTCCAGTACTATTTCAAAATAATTTGCATACAAAAATACTTGTAATTATTTTTGTTTACAAAATCATTGATATCAATCAACTGCATAAAAGACAAAAGTGTTGCATGATACAATATTTAATATGAAGTTAGGTGCTACCTATGGTGCGGAAAGCTCTTATAAATTATGATTTTAGCATAACATGTTTAGTGTACATGTAAACCAGATCTTTCCTGCACTTCATTAGTAAATGCAAGTATTTTCTATTTTGTACCGTAAACAAGACGAATAAATTGGAGGTGTTCAGCCTATCATCGGAACGCTCGGAATATTCCAACGTAAAGGGGGACCAATGCGCATGCGCCGGCGTTTAAAAAATCCCGTCCGCCATTTTTGTTAATCTCTAATCCAGTTGTAGTTTTAACATTATTTTTAATGTGCTAATTTATCAAAAAGGATATGTTATAATCGTTACTATAGTTCTTATCAATGAAATGCATGTTTATTTTTTGATTTTGTACATCATTCTTTCACTAGAAGTGATATTTAGCATGCGTCTGCTAACAATAGTCTGAATTAAAAGCGATCAAAGGGATTTCAAAATGGCGGCGCCCAGTTAACTAAGGATTTTTTTCGCAGCTCATTAGGTATAGGATATATATTTTTTTTGAAATTTTCATTTACTTTTAATTTGATTTCATTTGAATTGATACGCGTCTAAGAGCGCTACAGCTCAAGTGTTGTTCCAGACTCAAACTCAGTTAAAATATTTTAAATATTGTTCCAGACTCAAGCTAAGTTTCGATATTTCAAGTGATATCCCACACTCAAACTCAGTTAAGATGTTTCAAATATTGTTCAAGACTCAAGCTTAGATAAGATATTTCAAGTGTTGTTCCGGACTCAAACTAAGTTTCAATATTTCAATTTTTATTCCAGACTTAAACTAAGTAAAGACTCAAATTAAGTAAAGATATTTCAAGTGTTGTTCCAGACACAAACTAAGTTAAGAAATTTCAAATGTTGTTCCAGACTCAAACTCAGTTAAAATATTTCAAGTATTGTTCCAGACTCAAGCTTAGTTAAGATATTTCAAGTTTTGTCCCAGACTCAAACTCAGTTAAGATATTTCAAGTATTGTTCCAAACTCAAACTCAGTTAAGATGTTTCAAGTATTGTTCCAGACACAAGCTAAGTTAAGAAATTTCAAATGTTGTTCCAGACTCAAACTCAATTAAAAACTTAAAATATTTCAAGTATTGTTCCAGACTCAAGCTGAACTAAGATATTTCAAGTTTTGTCCCAGACTCAAACTCAGTTAAGATATTTCAAGTATTGCTCCAAACTCAAACTCAGTTAAGATGTTTCAAGTATTGTTCCAGGCACGCTAAGTTAAGAAATTTCTAGTGTTGTCCCAGACTCAAACTCAGTTAAGATGTTTCAAGTATTCTTCAAGACTCAAACTTAGTTAAGATATTTCAAGTATTATTCAGACTCAAACTAAATTAAGATATTTCATGTATTGTTCCAGACTCAAACTAAGTTAAGGTATTCCATGTATTGTTCCAAACTCAAACTCAGTTAAAATGTTTCAAGTATTGTTCCAGACACAAGCTAAGTTAAGAAATTTCTAGTGTTGTCCCAGACTCAAACTCAGTTAAGATGTTTCAAGTATTCTTCAAGACTCAAACTTAGTTAAGATATTTCAAGTATTGTTCAGACTCAAACTAAGTTAAGATATTTCATGTATTGTTCCAGACTCAAACTAAGTAAAGATATTTCAAGTATTGTTCAAGACTCAAACTAAGTTAAGATATTTCAAGTGTTGTTCCAGACTCAAACTAAGTTAAGTTATGATATTTCATGTATTCTTTAAGACTCAAACTAAGTTAGATAAGATATTTCAAATATTTTTCCAGACTTAAGCTAATTTTAGATATTTCAATTATTGTTCCAGACTCAAACTAAGTTAAGACTCATATTAAGTAAAGTTATTTCAAGTGTTGTTCCAGACACAAGGTAAGTTAAGAAATTTCAAGTGTTGTTCCAGACTCAAACTCAGTTAAAATATTTTAAGTATTTTTCAAGACTTAAGCTAATTTTAGAGATTTCAATTATTGTTCCAGACTCTAACTAAGTTAAGATACTTCAAGTATTGTTCAAAACTCAAACTTTGTGAGGATATCTTAATTATTGTTCGAGACAATTAAGATATTTCAATTATTCTTCATAACTCAACTTATGTTAAGATATTTTAAGTTTTGTTCCAGGCTCAAACTAAGTTAAGATATTACAAGTGATTTTCCAGACACAAGTTAAATCATTACAAGTAGTGGTCTTCATTAAACTTAAGCTTTTTTCATTTATGTACGTTTAGATAGTAAAGCAGTCCTCACGACACAAATTAATTTCAATTTTTCTCCCAAATATTGACAAATATATTAATGTTTCAAACTATGAAAGGACATCGTAAGAATTATTTAGAATTTTAAGGATGTTGAGATATTTTAAATATTGACCAGAAATGAAATAGATTTTTAAAATCTGTTTTAAGAAATATTTACAAATGCAAAGAAGTTTCCAAGATACAAGATCGATTTAAAATGTCAAATGTTGTTCTTTAAAATATTCCAGATATATAAACTAGTATACAAAATTTTAATGGTTTACCCTCTGTTTACCCGTTACACAAATTATAGCCAACTATTTTAAATAATACTTTAAAAAAAACGTGATTCTGTAAGTATATAAAGATACTAGGTCTATAGTATTTTCATATTTTTATATGTATTAAGTGAAAAGATTCTAATCAAAGCATTAATCATTAAATATACCCTAAAATTGGTTGAAATATTTCAAGTTATGTATACTTGTAAAAAAGGAAGTATCCAATTTTGAGTATAGTGTGTTCCTTTAAATTGTTTTTGATGGTAAATTTAATATTGCAAAGCAAGTATGACCAAATGGAGACCACTCTTGCCTTTAATAATTAAGTAACAGTGCAACCTCCCCTGAAAATTGAAATGACGTCAAAGACCAAAGGGCGACTACTCTCCCTATTGATAATTAAACATTATGCTTTTTGCGGCTAAATTTTCACAACCAAATGCTATTACTTTTGATTGATATTTTATGGAAGTTTTACAGTAGCATTATGAAAGTCATTTTCCCCAAAAGTAAATGTTAGTACCGAAGATGTGTGAGGGTTATCAGTTAGAAAAAAAAACAAGTGGTAATGGAGTGTAAATTGACGGGAAAATGACTTTTTTTTATCATTTTACAGTCTCCTTTGGTCCGTTCTTTTTGAATTTGCAGGGGAGATCAATCTGTATTTTAAAACAAGTAGCCTCCCTTTTCGCTTGATGTAATTTGCAAAACAATAAATAAATTAATAAATAAATATATAAATGAAATAAATAAATAAAAAAAATACTTAAATTAAAAAAGAAAAAACTTTAAAAAAGTAAAACAGGCAAGTAAAGTTAAAAAATTGATAGAATAATGTATCAAAAGCGAACAAAAAAAAAACAACTAAATGATGCTAGCCCTTAACTCTGTCAGATCATATAAAAATTGAAAACAACAACAACAATAATAAAAAAATTCAACAAAAAAAAAACAACAAAAAACCCCCCAAAAAACAAGCACAAACGCATGCATCGTCGGATACCCACGGTTTATTAACATGTAATCAAGATAAATGTTAATGGTTAGGCAGTGGGTATCAGTGACTATCCGGCGATGAAACGTACGAAGATATGCTTGGAAATGAAAATGATAAAGTAACCCTTTGTGACTCCTTATTTAAAGCATTTAAAAGAAAAAAAATGAAACAAATGATACCCCAAAATATAAAGGAACACATTATATCATGTATATGGTTGATAATATTATCGGAAGCGGACTTGTCCAGCTTCCGTTTCTGAATACGTTCATTCTCAAATTAGGGAATATAACGAATAAAATCAAATTTGAAATTGGTCAACCAGTTTAGAGCCTGGTCAATCTGCACAGACGTGCAGGTTGGCCTGACTGCATACTGGTTGCAGAGGCTGGTCACTTTAAGGTCAAGCAAGTTAAAGGTAAACAACTAAATGGTCACTTGTGACAATGTTATTCTTTCAATCCATTTCTTGTTACCTTATTTCAATTTGTTTTTATTTTCATTTTTGTTTTTATTTATTTTATTTTATTGTCTTTATTTTACCTTAATTCATTATTTTTGTTTTTATTTTATTTCATTATTGTTTATTTAATTTCATTTTGTTGTTTTTATTTTTTATTTCATTTATTTTGTTATTTCATTCTTTTATTTCATTATTGTTCTTCTGGTGGTTATTACAACTATTTTGATATTTTAATTCATTTTTTCATCATTGCATGTTTTTGTATGATGAAATATTTCATCGAAGGAGTTTTCATTATGTTTCATTAATGTTTTTTTTGGTGGTAGTGGTGATATTCTTGGTGGTGTTAATATTATCTAAATCTTAAGAAATTTCAAATGGATGTTTCTATCATGACGTTGTTAAATTATCATTATTTCTCATTGTACGGCCTAGTATGTCTTTATTAACTATTAAATGTTACTTATTACACTTCTTGAAATATACATTGTAAAAATGCGCATCATTCATTTCTGCAATTTTACTATTGCCATTATGTTAACGGTACAGTATGTTTGCACATATATATTAATTAAGTCTTAATAAATGTACATTCCTGATCAAAATTTACTTATTACACCACTCGAAATATACATTGCAAAAAAGTGCATTATTCATTATTGCAATTATACTCATTATTGCCATTAGAATACATTGACGGTACAGTGTGTTGGTAAATAGAAGATGTAAAATTTAAAAAGCAAATAAAATATCCCTTCTATTCTGTTCACATCACGGCATTTATGAAGGTGTTATTTTTTAAGCTCATGTAGAAAATCCAATCGAGCTCTTTTATGGTTTTTATTGCTACGCCAAAAACTCATTACTTCATAATTGCCATAAATATTAGACAGTTACATGGTAATACATTTCTTAAATTTGGCAGAAAAAACACCATTCAGAAGTTGAACATGACATTTTCAGAAAGATACCAAATCGTATCAGGTGGATTGAAATTTCTTTGTCACATATGTTGTAACGGCATGCAATAGTTCCAAACCGGAAGCATAGTTATTTTGCTGACTGCAAAGAGTGTTGTGTTTTCTTTATTCCTTCACCTGCTCAATTTACCATGTTCCGTATTTCTGAAATGTAAAGATCACTGATACACCTGTATTGTAAAAATTATATTCAACTTAGAATCAAATGTTTTTCCTTAAAGGCACATTATGCCTCAGAAATTAATATCTTTTTCCTACATTAGACAGTGCAAACATGAGTATTATAACGTTCAAATAAGACTTTAAAGCATGTTAGATGCTTATTAGCAAAATTAAGTATGGCTGAATGTGAAAATATTTGTTTTAAAGGTCGCAAACTGTAAACACAGTAGTATTTTAACTTCCACACAAAATACTAAATCACTAAAACTGTTTACGAAAAGCAAAAGATTATTCAGATAAATGACCAATAAATATAGGTTTTGAAACTATAATAATGTCGCCAAATTTAATATGATGCTCCGTATGCTAGCATTTAGTCTTCGTTGACGGGGCGGAAGGGAACCAGGACATCTTTGATCAATATTACTTGTCGAATCATTAAATTACAAGTTACAAAGCCTTAACCACGCCCACCATCAGAGAGGCGGTTGTCCCTCAACCGTTAAGAAAATACGCAAAACTCTGCGCACCGGTTACGCTCCGGTCATACGGTTACTGCAGAACCAGTGCTTAAAATCATTCGAACATTATGCAATTCGCACCAATATTTAGATAGACATATTCTCGGCACATATTGTCTTGAATTTATTTTAAGTATACCAATCAATTCAATTTTACTTGTTATCCAATTTATTTTGCTTTGACCAGACGTTTCAATCTTTGTTTCAATCCTTGTCGCAACAGACAAACATTTCAGAATTTCAGACATGGCATTACCTTGTGCATTAGGTTCTACTTTTCCACAAAAATATGTAACTTAATTATTAAACAACGAGCACATACCAAGAACATGGAGAAACAAGAACTGTCGGAGGACAGTAACGCTCGACTATTCGAAAAGTTGTCACAAGGGTGTTTCATTGAGTATAATAATGCTTACCTATATGAATACATAAAATTGTCCGAAAAGGTACAAACCCTTCAGTAGTTATGGAGATACCGTCTAACAAGCAAAAATTTACCTAGAATTTCTAAGTCAAAAAAGGGGCATAATTATGCAAAAAAGCAAATCAGAGTTATGGGACTTGTGCCATTCATCTTAGATAATCACAGAAAACAAGTGTGTGAAGTTTCAATCCATTCCCTTCAGTAGTTATGGAGATACCAGCTTACACGCAAAAACTTAACCAAGAATTTCTAAGTCGAAAAAGGGGCATAATTATGTAAAAAAGCAAATCAGAGTTATGGGACTTGTGCCAATCATCTTAGATAATCACAGGGAACAAGTGTGTGAAGTTTCAATCCATTCCCTTCAGTAGTTATGGAGAAACCGGCTTACACGCAAAAACTTAACCAAGAATTTCTTAGTCAAAGGGGCATAATTATGTAAAAAAGCAAATCAGAGTTATGGGACTTGTGCCAATCATCTTAGATAATCACAGAGAACAAGTGTGTGAAGTTTCAATCCATTCCCTTCAGTAGTTATGGAGATACCAGCTTACACGCAAAAACTTAACCAAGAATTTCTAAGTCGAAAAAGGGGCATAATTATGCAAAAAAGCAAATCAGAGTTATGGGACTTGTGCCAATCATCTTAGATAATCACAGAAAACAAGTGTGTGAAGTTTCAATCCATTCCCTTCAGTAGTTATGGAGATACCAGCTTACACGCAAAAACTTAACCAAGAATTTTTAAGTCAAAGGGGCATAATTATGTAAAAAAGCAAATCAGAGTTATGGGACTTGTGCCAATCATCTAAGATAATCACAGGAAACAAGTGTGTGAAGTTTCAATCCATTCCCTTCAGTAGTTATGGAGATACCGTCTAACAAGCAAAAATTTACCTAGAATTTCTAAGTCAAAAAAGGGGCATAATTATGCAAAAAAGCAAATCAGAGTTATGGGGCTTGTGTCAATCATCTTCGATAATCACAGAAAACAAGTGTGTGAAGTTTCAATCCATTCCCTTCAGTAGTTATGGAGATACCAGCTTACACGCAAAAACTTAACCAAGAATTTCTAAGTCGAAAAAGGGGCATAATTATGCAAAAAAGCAAATCAGAGTTATGGGACTTGTGCCAATCATCTTAGATAATCACAGAGAACAAGTGTGTGAAGTTTCAATCCATTCCCTTCAGTAGTTATGGAGATACCAGCTTACACGCAAAAACTTAACCAAGAATTTCTAAGTCAAAGGGGCATAATTATGTAAAAAAGCAAATCAGAGTTATGGGACTTGTGCCAATCATCTAAGATAATCACAGGAAACAAGTGTGTGAAGTTTCAATCCATTCCCTTCAGTAGTTATGGAGCTACCGTCTAACAAGCAAAAATTTACCTAGAGTTTCTAAGTCAAAAAAGGGGCATAATTATGCAAAAAAGCAAATCAGAGTTATGGGACTCTTGCCAATCATCTTCGATAATCACAGAAAACAAGTGTGTGAAGTTTCAATCCATTCCCTTCAGTAGTTATGGAGATACCAGCTTACACGCAAAAATTTAACCAAGAATTTCTAAGTAGAAAAAGGGGCATAATTATGTAAAAAAGCAAATCAGAGTTATGGGACTTGTGCCAATCATCTAAGATAATCACAGGGAACAAGTGTATGAAGTTTCAATCCATTTCCTTCAGTAGTTAAGGAGATACCAGCTTACATGCAAAAACATTTTTTTTTTTTTTTTTTTAAATTTTTTTACAAAATACAAAACATTTATGCATATACATACAATATATGAGATAAACGTATAAGGAGGAATAAGAGATTACTTTTTAGAATCTACAATAATTCAATAGTATTTAAACAGAGTTGACAAATTTTTAATACCAGACTTATTTTAGTATAACATAAGCCAAAGATTCATTTTCGGAAACTTTACTTTTTCAATATGACAGAACTTATTTGACATAAAGGAGAAATTCCAATTTTACATTGAACTTATATTGAAAAAAAAAATGTCATTAATTCAAGGGAAACAACTCCTACTATCTTAAAATTGATACCCATTTAAGAGTTGCACCTCTTGTCATGAATACTTTATGCATTTATATCATGAGAAAGATTAAAAAAGACCAAATGTCATTCAAGGTGTTTAAAAAAGAAAGATACAAAAAGGGCAGTGGGTGCAATACAGAGTGGATCAAGCCTAAATAAATGATCTTAAAACATTAGTCTCAATTAGGCAGCAAAGAAATATATTTTCCCCATAAATTGTCAAACTTTGAAACTTTATTTTGTTTTTTTGCACTAAATAATTATGTTCTCAAAAGAATAGCGACATAATTTTTAAAAAGTTGAACGCTTGGAACTGTGTTCTTTAATTTGCATCTATAAAGAGTATACTTTCCCAGCAGAATTAAATTCAATGTTGCATTATCTAAGTGTTTATTGCCTAGAATAATATCTGTTAAGGTCCACTGTGTGTTAACATCTGTACATTTTGAATTTATCCATGATTTTATATCTTCCCAAAAAGAAGAACTTGAATGGCAATCCCAAAATAAATGTTTTATAGTTTCAATATGATTGTTGCAAAAAGAACATGTATTAACATCTTTTATTCTCATTTTATGTAAAAGATAATTTGTTGCCAGTATCATGTGATTGACTTTATACTGAAACCATTGTAAATTTGAATCCTTTGTAATATTAAAAGGGAGCCTATAAATGCCATTCCAATTAAAATCATTATTTAAATTGAGTTCATCTTCCCATTTTCCCTTAGCAATAGATGATATATTTGCTCTAAGAATATAATCATAGATTTGTCTAAGTCCCTTCTTTTGACTATTTATTATCTTGATCATTAAAGGCTGAATAGGCATTTCCTCTTTCTGATGTAGATGTCTTAAAGACAGCTGATTTAAAAATCTCCTAATAGACTCTATAATGTTTTGATACTCTAAAAAATTGGTATTTATATCAAACTTAGTTAAAAATTCATCAAATGAAAGCAAATTCCCTCTATTGTCTAAGAAGTCATTAACCAATATAATACCACAATTAACATATCTTGAGAAACAAACAGAAGAACTACCTATTTTAAACATAGAATTATGCCAAACAGGAAGTGAGCAAAATTCACTCCAGTTCCTGGGGTACTGCTTATGTAACTGTATGAGCCAAGTAAAAACATCTTTCCAAAAATTATTTTGCACTGTCTGAAGTTTATTTATCAAAAATTGGTCTCCATATTTACTAATATTTGATATAAATGGGTATATTATTAACAAAATTAAAGTATTTGGTATTATACATTAAAATTCTTCTTATCCATGTCAATTTTAGAGACATTATAAAAGTTTCTAAGTTTATCACTCTAAAACCTCCATTTTCATAATTCTGAATAACAACATTTCTTTTAATTTTATCTGGTCCTGACTTCCATAAGAATTTAAAGAAGGAGTTTTGTATAGCTTTAATTGTTCCTATATCAGGATTTGGCAAGCTAAGAATAAGGTGATTTAATTTAGGTAATGCTAATGACTTGATAACAACATTCTTACCAATTGCATGCAAAAAACTTAACCAAGAATTTCTTAGTCGAAAAAGGGGCATAATTATGTAAAAAAGCAAATCAGAGTTATGGGACTTGTGCCAATCACCTTAGATAATCACAGGAAACAAGTGTGTGAAGTTTCAATCCATTCCCTTCAGTAGTTATGGAGATACCAGCTTACACGCAAAAACTTAACCAAGAATTTCTAAGTCGAAAAAGGGGCATAATTATGTAAAAAGGCAATCAGAGTTATGGGACTTGTGCCAATCATCTTAGATAATCACAGAGAACAAGTGTGTGAAGTTTCAATCCATTCCCTTCAGTAGTTATGGAGATACCAGCTTACACGCAAAAACTTAACCAAGTATTTCTAAGTCGTAAAAGGGACATAATTATGCAAAAAAGCAAAGCAGAGTTATGGGACTTGTGCCAATCATCTTAGATAATCACAGGGAACAAGTGTGTGAAGTTTCAATCCATTCCCTTCAGTAGTTATGGAGATACCAGCTTACACGCAAAAACTTAAGTCGAAAAAGGGGCATAATTATGTAAAAAAGCAAATCAGAGTTATAGGACTTGTGCCAATCATCTTAAATAATCACAGGGAACAAGTGTGTAAGTTTCAATCCATTCCCTTCAGTAGTTATGGAGAGACCAGCTTACATGCAAAAACAGGAACGCCGTCGCGGACAAATGGGTGACTGCATTAGCTCGATTATTGTGCTTTGGATATTCAACTGTAATAGAGAACGATTTTCAATGCTGATTGGCGGCGTCTTTGATGTGTAGCATCAACATTTAAATTGTATAATGTATAAAATATTCGCATCGCTTTGCGTTTCACTTGCAAAAGACAGCAGACGCATGGGTTGAACCACCAAATTTAAAAAAATGCACATAATAGAATTCAGGTATACAACAAACAAATAATTACGTCTTACTCAAATAGTGGTCATAAAGCTTTTATTCACTTAATTTACACAATCATATAGTTAAAATCAATGTCCCCCGGGGCGGGGCCAATTTTGACCCCAGGGCCTTTTATTTGAACAAACTTGGTAGACACCCACTAGAAGATGTTTCATGCTAAATATCTTAGCTATAGCTCTTTGGGTTCTTTAAAAGAAGATTTTTTAAGTTTTTTATATATGCATATAGGAAAAATCAATGACCCCCCTGGGGCGGGACCAATTTTGACCCCAGGGCTTTTATTTGAACAAGGTTGGTAGACACTAAATAGAAGATGTTTCATGCCAAATATCTAAGCTCTAGCTCTTTGGGTTTTTTAGAAGAAGATATTAAAAGTTTTTTCCTTTGGTTGCCATGGCAACCAGAGTTCTGCATGGAATAAAATTCTTTGAACAATTTTCAAAGGTGACCATCAAAGGAACATTCCTGTGAAGTTTGGATGAAATTGGCTTAGAGGTTTATGAGGAGATGTCATTTAAAGTAAGTTAACGGACGCCGGACGGACGCCGGACAAAAAGCGATCACAAAAGCTCACCCTGTCACAAAGTGACAGGTGAGCTAAAAATTTATCAAACCCGAACACGAAACAATTTTCACAATGCCGTATTGTTTCAGGACCAAATGAATACACGTCTCATTCAAGAGCTATAAACAAGCCTCAACGCTGCACGCCTCAAGATGAACCAAAACTATTTCAAGAAAAACAAACTTAAGAAAAATGTACTCAGATTTTAAGAGAAGTAAAAAGATTTAAGATTCAAATAATTATTTATGTGCTAAATGTCTTTAACGACCGAAGTCGCAGTACTTATTAGCATATTTCTACTGCGTGACTAACGCAGTAATGGCTATTATTGTATATTTTGGCCTTTTTTGGTAATTCTAGTAGACTGTAAATGCTGGTTGTAATATGTAAATTACTTTCCTTGTTCACTACACTATCTTTTTCTTTTAGATACATTTTCAAAATTTACATGAAGAATGAGCATGAATCTGGAGGCATGCTGCTTTAACCTGCGGAAATTATTAAATGGACTTTTCCACATTTTATTTAAGGAACAGTCCATTATAAATCATTATAACTAATTATCACATGAAAATGAAAATTGGAAGCTAGCAAACAGTAAAGAGGCTGGTCAAACTGCACAAAAGTGCAGGCTGGCCTGGCTCTATTCTGGAGGCAAAGACTATGAAGTTCGCTTTCAGCAGGCTAAGAAACAAATCTATACATATATTCATAAAATATACTATTACCTCATCTTAATCAGTAGGTTCCAGTTCTGTGATAATGATGTAACATGCCAAGATCAGTTTGCCGGCGCTAATTTCATATCTTTCGTTCTTTCTTGATTTCAAATCCTGAAACTGAAATATAGAAAATATATAGATAGAAAATTAAGATGTTATCGGAGTGCCACAATCAAAGTCACCAGTTCATTATAATATACACATTATGCATTAGAAATAATTATGATATTTTATAGAATAATTATAATAGGAGATATTTTTATCTCCCTTATTTGTAATACATTCATAATTATCTCCCTTCCTTCGGCACAATCACTAATGAAGTGCCGATATTTTTACCTATTCGTGAATTAAGTTATTGAATGTATATTGTTTTTGTATTTAGATTGTAATACTTTAAGGAAGCGAGTGATCTCGGAAAGAATAGTTCTTTATATTTTGTTAAGTTCATTTTTTTTTCTAGAAAAGCAGCAATAATTTCAAAAAGTCATGTTTCCATCTGAAATTAACATGCTTTCAAAATACAAACATTGTACCAAATTAAAAGTTGTCATTATTAATGAACTATAATCAGTACTTTCTGATTATTTTGTGTGGTATAATATGTTGATAAATTCTCAGCCTTTTAGTGCCAACATAATATACATGTACCCGTGCGACCAGTGCAGACCAAAATAAGTCGGCATATCCTTGACTTCTGCTTATGATCTGCACTATACGATATTAAGTCAGTACATATTTTGAAATTTTCCCTTAAAATGAGTAATGGTTTTGTCCAGATTTGAAGATGGGCAAGTCCATTTAAAATATTTTGCAGAGTTAAAGGTGTAATCAGCGACTCACAAACCCTTATCTGTAAAATGTATTGTTCTATGTTTAGCTAAAATTTGTATTTCTTTAAAATATCTTACCTCATCTACTGAACGTCAGGGGAAGTAACTGAGATCACAAAATCGAGTAGGAGACACACCGGAGGTCGAAAATTTCCACTTTAAAATTTATTGTCGTCTGCTACCTGTGGATACACTATTGGTAACATGGTACATTTTTTAGCATTTTAAAAATAATTGTTACTAAGATTATAAGTTATTTGTTTAAATTACTGAAATGTTCTTAATGACCCATAACTCAACAGTATTATGCTCATTTGATAAGAATATATTGTAAACTTAAATTATTATTTTTAACATGACTGCTTTAAATCAAGTTAACTAAGTGGCATACATGTAATTATACTGTGATATTCTTAGTTGACACTTAACACTTTGAAGCAAGAAAGAAAACAACACATGAAACTTAGGGTACAAAAATTGTCATATATGTATTACACAAGGAAACAACAACATATTTAGTCAAAATCAGTTTAAATGAGCCAGACGTAGACCATATGTCGGCAATTTTGAAAACAGTATGTCATCATTTAAATCGCAGTAATGGTGTTTTATTTCAGTTTTTTCATGTTTCAGTCAAAATTTCGAAATGTTATTTTGCATGATTTTAAATGTTAAAAGTATGTTTACATTATAACTCAAAATTTATTTTTTCAACGAACAAGAACATTTAGAAAATAATGATTGTTTCAGACGTATGCACAAATGTAACGGACTATTGTTGCTTTTTGCAAAAGTTTGTAAATTGTTGTTCTGTTTTACGTTAAAAATCTATAGATTTAAAATATTTTGCACAAACACTTTGTTGTTCAGGTGTTTCAATAAAATATGTCAATTCTGACCAATTTTAACACTGGTCACATGAAAATATGCCATTACCGTGAAATAAGTGATGACGCGGAATTAGTGATGTTGAGTATAAATCAAATTCTAGTATAAAGTTAATGGTGTTTAGATTATGTTCCCCGTTACACAATCATAATGAATTCTGAGGTAGGAAGTTACATTCAAAACATGCAAAACGAAGTGTTTTACAAGAACAGACGACCAAGTGACTAAAATAGCCCTTACTCGCTTTTCAAACAGTTGGGCTAAAAATGGTTCATTATGAAACATTAGACAATAATGATATGTCAACATAATTATTACATTGACACGAAAGTTTATTTTTCAAAAAGTAAATAAGACATACATTACAAAGTTATGATTTCCTCTGCTGAAAGCGAGTCCAGTATAGAGCTAGGCCGGCAGTCTGATATGGTGCATGATTGCATCTGTGCGACAACTGTCGTCTGCTAGGATTCTTCCCTCCATTTCTTGCTTTACATCTGCTCAATGATCAATAAACATTTTTTTTACCATCAATCGAACAATAGTATGAAATATATAGTGGTAATATTTAGAAAATAGAATTTTATCTAGTTTTGTCTTTCAAAAGTAATCCAGTGATGTTTTCTTACGCCATCTGAAAACAAACGAAAAACCAAAGAACAATATTATTATTATACTAGTCTAAAATGTCGCATTCTGCATCTAAAAATATCAGTATATATAATTGTTAAAATTGTCGCATTCAACACCCAAATATCATTATTAGAAATGTCACGTTCTAAATCTTAAAGCATCAATGTTATCTTTAATATATTGTCGCATTCTCCACCTATATATTAATATAATTATCAAAAATATCATATTGCTCATATTAAACATCAATATAATTATACAAAATTCGGTATTGTATAGCTAAAATTCTATATAACTATTATGTGTCTCCCATTTCTAATGAAATTGATATAACTATTTGAAATGATGAATACTAATAATTCGACTAGTATAACAAAATCCAAAATTTTCAAATCGATCACAATGTATCAGCAAAGAATCAACTGTCTTATCGACCACCAATTCCCAAATGATTCAGAAATAAGGCCTAAATTTTCGACAAAGAAAAACTACCATAACACACAAATGACATTAACAACTCCAACAAAGACAAAGAACAAGAGCTGTCCGTAAGACAGCGCGCTCGACTTTTTTATTGCTTGCCAATAAAAAAAGTTTTTGCAGTAAAAGGCAATACAAGAATCTCTGTATTTTTAAAGTGAACTAGTTGTTTGATACCCTTGAATATTACAGCAATGTTTATATGACATAATTTATGGTAAAGTGAACAAGTGGATAGGAATGAATTTTTTTAGATTTTTTAAGTTTTTTAGTGCTTGCCTATAATACAAAACATTGACAGTTAAGGGCCATAATTCAAATAAAATTTTTGACAGAATTACCTTCTCCTGGACATGTTTGGGAATCATGATTGTAAACAAGTATTCCAACTTTCAAATTAATATCTCAAACAGTTCAGTCAAAAAGTGGACTGGTACTAAAAACTTAACCAAGATTCTAAGTCGATAAAAAGGCCTTAATTTTTAAAACAAATCCTTGACAGAGTTACCTTCTCTTGCGTACAGATGGGGGTAATGATGTGAAATAGCATTAAAAGTTTCAAAGCAATATCTCAAAGGGTTAAGGCAATAAGTGGATTTTACCCATATTCAATGTATTTTCTAAGTCAAAAAGGGGCATAATTCTGTCAAAAACCTTGACAGAGTTATGTCCTCTTGTCTGTTGATGAAGGTCGTGATGGTAAACAAGTATGGTCAGTTTCAAAGCAATACCTCCAATGGTTTTGAAATAAAGTGAGGTGGTACAAAAAACTTAACCAAGCTCAATACACTTTCTAAGTCAAAAAAGGGCCATAATTCTGTCAAAAACCTTGACAGAGTTATGTACTCTTGTCTGTAGATGGAGGTTATGATGGTGAACAAGTATGGTAAGTTTCAAAGCCATACTTGTAATACTTCTGAAATAAAGTGGGGTGGTACGAAAAACTTAACCAAGGTGTGACGCCGACGCCGACGCCGACGCCGACGCCGACGCCGGGGCGAGTAGGATAGCTCCCCTTTTCATAGAAAAGTCGAGCTAAAAACTACCATAACGCACATAAACAACTCCCACAAAGAGACAAACTAAAACACCGAACCCAAATCGAATAACCCCAATCACACACCAACTCCAAAAATTTGAGGAAGAAACCAAAACAACCAAAATTGATATAAACAATGCACACAAAATATCGTCAATATACATAAACATAAAACATAGTTTTCAATTTTGACAGAAAAATCTAAAATAAAATTTTGTAATTCTACGGACATAATACCATTTACATGCATATATGTATATCAAATTTCTTATAATGTCAAATTTTTTCAAATGTAAATTGAATTAAGTAAGTATGCTGTTTTTACGTTGCATAATGTGTGCTGTCCTTGTACCACAAGCATGGTCCGATATAGTATGATTACTTGCAAGTTCATTGGTTCCTTTTGAAATTTCATCTTCTGAAACTGATAAAACTTACGCTGAAAAGTTAAAACTCATTTGTCTAAAAATAACTAGTTCTACAAAAAGCTAGTTTCTATAAATAACTAGATTTAAATGATGATTGCTCACTACCTTGAACGACGTCATTTCATCATCATTGTTACACCCGTGGACGTCCTCATAAACATGACCATAAATAACAACATTGTCATTTTTACATATCGCACGTCAATCATCCGTGTCAATTCTTTGATAGATCTCATATGCCAACTATCAATTATTCATATCTGTATTTTGTTTTATATCATAAGCCAATTAACATTATGTAATTATGCATACGATTTATATTTAACTCCTACACTGCTGAAACCAGTAATCTGCCCTTTGCTACCACTTTAATTTAGTATAGATGGCTACAATGGTAAGTAAATATGAATAATGATCATAATGGTAAAAAATACCGTTAACTATGATCGAAACGTCACATGAAAAATTAAAAGTTTAACATGTATAATTCTTATGATAAACGCTAATTTATAATTAAAGTCCTTATTCATGGAAAATTTAACTTTGTGTCAAACAAATTGTACCCACGAAAAATATTTGATAATTTACAAATATGTGATAAATAACATTTCCCGGATTTTCTGTGAAATATTTACATTTTTTCCTTAAAAAAAAACAGTGACGCTTTCCCGATTTTCATGTGTAATAATATTACGTTTCGGCTATGTAGTTTTAATAAAATATAAAATAACTTACATTTTTTATTGATACTTAGTTTTTCGACGTCCTAAAATAAAAGAAACAATTCCAAACCTCCCATACGTTCGTTTCCGTCACATCCCTCTCACAAACTTCACGCAAATGTAGCTAACAGTAAAGTGCATGGAAAATCACTCGACCACGAATCTTGAGCGCTCGGGGACAATCACTGATTGATTCTCACCAAAAAACTTTACTAAACACATCCGTTAAAGACGAGCAAAACATTTTCCGATCTCTTTTCAGTCACACGATTCAATTTGCTATGTATTTATATAAAACTATTGTTCCCCGCCTGGATTATTCGGAAGGACCAAAATGGCACACCATCACGTGACATGCGCGAAGCAGTTTTTATTCGTCATTCGAGCATTAAGTTCTATGACACTTAATTAACTTCTGACTACATGTAATTTGTAGTTTTTATTTATACAAGCACTTTAGCTATTATCGTCCGCTGGCGTAGTAATATTCAAATCGCGTAAAGCAATAATATACATACAATTTTAAAAGACGACCGCAAAATTTAGTAAATAATTGGCCAGTCAATTTTAAAATAGATAGGGAACTATGATTTTGGGAGTTACTGCGAAGTCTTGGAACTATTTTCATTAACGGCATAACATTTTCAGTAATGTGTTGTTAATGTTTCTTGTTGTTTTTTTTTCGTTTTATATAAGGGCATATTTTCCGATTTATGTTCCGTGTATTTTTATGTAAATGCATATTACATGATATCCCCACATAGGTTCATATCGTGGTTAAATTATTAGGCATATGAAAAACCATTATTATTACATAGACCGCGGTGCGGGAGTGTAATCAAGCCATTTAATAAAAACGATATTACACCAGTTTAATACCTATGTTACTATATATAGTAACAAAATTTAGGGCATTTCAAGGCCATTATGGCAAGATCACGGTCATAATGCAATTTCGGCCGCCTTGCTACTCGGCATTATTTTTCCATAATGGGCGAGTGAATGAGCGAACGTGCAAAATGACGTAATCAACTCTCAGTGACGTTCAAGATGGCTGCTGAACTGATTGAATGAACTGTAGTCACTTGCACACAAAATATTTTAAAGTTTTTAAAAATGACATAATTAATCGCAATCAGCAAAGCTTAAAATTGAAGATTTTAAACTCAAGACAAAACATGACCCTCAGAAATTCCAAAAATGATTTCAGATTGACAGTAGAAAAAAAAGATCGGATCGGTGGCATTTAGACCTAAACACCAGTCTTGAAAGCACAAAAGTTCATAAAAAACTGGCACTAGATCTAAATGTTGTTCTCACAAAAAATGTACAGAGTACTCTATTTATCGATAAAAAAAACAACAATAAAACACAAATTTTCTATGGGGCGTCCGTTGCCGAGTGGTTAAGGTCGTTGACTTCAAACCACTTGCCCCTCACCGCTGTGGGTTCTCGAATCCCAACAGGGACTAGGTTCTTTCATGTGAGGAAGCTATCCAGCTAGCTTACGAAACGTCGATGGTTCTACTCAGGTGCCCGTTCGTGCCTGAAATAATGCACGGAAGGGCACCTGAGGTCTTCCTCCACCAGTAAAGCTGGAACGTCGCCAAATAAGGTGTAACGTTAAACCCAATCAAACAAACAAAATTTTTTCATATTTATTTTGTGTTATATCTATCATGTTTCTAAGTTATACTGTATGACAAATATTTGTTTACATTGACAACTGTCGGTTTCTTAAAAAGGCCGACACCCAAGATTAGCGGCGATGTCTAATCACCGTATTTCGGACATAGGTATTAAAGACGTTAATACTTGGTTGCTGCTCGCCATTATACGATAATGGCCCTCGAGTTCATAATGTCCTTCAACCAAGTATTAACCTCTATAAGTGATAACACTTTGACGCGACGTCTTTTGCGTTATGTATAAACATAGCGTTAACGTGCGCTAATGTAAGCGCGTCAATAGAAGCTCGAATAAATAGAGGATATTTGTTTAGTTCAGTGTAAGATCGGAATATATTTCACCGAGTGAGCACCAAAAGGTATATTTCACGAGTGGCGCAGCCACGAGTGAAATATGAACTTTTGGTGTTCACAAGGTGAAATATATTTCGATCTTACACTAAACTAAACAAATTTTCTTTTTATTACATGCAAAGAAACGTTTTAAAAAGACATTAAACCTAATACTGAATAAAAAGCGCGCCAAATAATAATACAACGTGACGTCATTAACGACGTCACGTCATTAAGTTGGTATTAAGCTGGTATTTCACTGAAACAACGTGAGGGCTTAAATTCAAAACAGTGAAATTATCAAAGTGGTAATTTCACTGTTTAAAACAGTGAAATTACCAGTTTTATATCACTGATATATTTCTGTAAACCACCGAAAAGCATGTAATAATATTGTTTTATAATAAAGGAGTATGTTCAAATATAGTGAAAATCGGCCCAAATTTTAATTTTGATAAAACTTGAGCATATGACATAAAAATATGTCCCAAGTAAGTTTTTGTTGATTTTTGTATCATTTTTCCAATTTGTTAGGCTCTATACTTGACCCCATTGTAACGTATTTTGACGTCAAAATTGCAACGTCAATCAACGACGCCGTAACGTCATATTAATATTTGTAATATGAAATATAGAGGATATTGAATGAGTGTAAATTCAATACTGAATTTATTGCACGAGTTGAATAAAATTATATTATGCGAGCCTCTGGCGAGCATAATATTATTTCATTCAACGAGTGCAATAAATTTAGTAATGAACTTACACGAATTTAATATTCTATTTATCACATACCCAAAATAAAGACCGTTGAAAGTAAAATAAGAATCATTTTTCATTGACGCGCCCATAGTATAACGTTATCATTTAGCGCGTCTTTACACTATGTTTGTTAACGCTAATGACGTCACGTCAAATATATGCACGGCCGTGCAATACCATATTTACGGAGTCGCAAAATATGCACGGCCGTGCAATACCATATTTACGGAGTCGCAAAATCGGCACTCCGTAAAAATGGTATTGCACGGCCGTGCATATATTTTGACGTGACGTCATTAGCGTTATACAAACATAGTGTAAAGACGCGCTGAATGTTAGCGTTATACTATATGCGCGTCAGTGAAAATGACTCTTATTTCACTTTAAACGGTCTTTATTTTGGATATGTGATAAATAGAATATTAAATTCGTGTAAGTTCATTACTGAATTTATTGCACTCGTTGAATAAAATAATATTATGCTCGCCAGAGGCTCGCATAATATAATTTTATTCAACTCGTGCAATAAATTCAGTATTGAACTTACACTCATTCAATATCCTCTATATATGACTCATAAATCTCTTTTTAATTACGGAGAGAAAAAAAATTGTTTCTTTCTTTTACTAAAATATTATAAAAACACAATATTCACTTTAAAATGAGTAAAACAGAAATGAAAACAAACTCGTTCAGTTTACGTGATATATTTCAATGACTGTAGGTATTAAATGAATAATTTATTTACATGTATATGTCATAATAATCTGTTTATCACATGTCAAAGATAAAAATTGTTTACAGTAAAAAGAGGAATACTTTTTCATTGACGCACTTATAGTGTAACGCTATCATTTCATGCGTCTTTACGCTATGATCGTATAACGCAAAGGACGTCACATCAAAATATATACCCTGCCGTGCAATACTATTTTAATGTAACAGCAAAAGCGGCATGTGTTGACTATGTGATAAAGTTATGTTACACACTGAATCATTTACTTTAGTGTAACAGCTACGTAAACTGACATGAATTCTTCATCTAACAATAAAATTCAAAAAATGAAATTCTTCAATGTTAATTGCTTTATTTAAAGTGCAATTTGGTCGTACTGAATCATCACATTTTGTATTGTAACTGCGTGTTGCTAAAAAGCTTTTTCGATGCACATATCGCATTAATAACTTTTCTATCTTGAGAAAATATTTGAAATGATAGTTTAAAGTCTCAATTCCGACTAAAAGGGCGCAAAGAATAGAGGAATTGTTAAAAGATTGACCTTGATTTTCTGAAATGGGCCGTATTTGTGTAATATAATAATACCAACCAAATTTATAACCTACATGTACCGAGCGGTAAATTTCAGGTATCTGCCAACACTGCAGTCATCTGCCATCACTGGCGCCGGTAATACGGTGTGAATAATAAAAAGATAATTTAGATAAAAAAACTAAGATTCAAATCCTGTGATAAAGCATTATCCCTTAAAATGTTTAAATGTATATCCTAAGAAAGGTTTGAGTTTAATATTTTTCATTAAATTTGTTTACTCATTGTTACACTCTAAACTGATAATTTTTTCGTACACTGCATTTTAAAATAACTAGCCTTTTACAGTCAAATTTATAGCTCATTTAAAGAAATAAATGTATGCCGATTTTGTCGCGAATTCTTCTCCAGACAACATGAAGGACGATCGACATCGTTAAGATGGTCCTTACAAATGTGACCTTTGAATAGGCATGTTTTTTTTTGTTCTTTTCTGAGTATTATTACTTGACATATACGAAACGTCATACCTCTGAACGCAAGTTTGAATGTCATTGTGGAAAATGAGAATAGAAAGAGAAATATTGCCCATAAATTTCGTACTCATGATCTTAATTAGGAGTTCAGTACTTTAATATGCACTAGCAAACCTTCGTGCATCTATTATTTATCAAAATAAACTTTTCTAAACTAATGGTTAATCTTTCACATTACATCAAGTTGTTTATGAAGTTGTTGAATACCGATATTATATATTCTTTTTTATAACTTTTGCCCTACGCAGAATGCGCACGCACGAAATGAAACATACGTTTCTATGGAAAATTCGTATCGTAAAACGGTCTTAATGCTCTTAAGCAATCTTTTGGTGTTCACAAGGTGAAATATATTTCGATCTCACACTAAACTAAACAAATTTTCTTTTTATTATATGCAAAGAAACGTTTTAAAAAGACATTAAACCTAATACTGAATGAAAAGCGCGCCAAATAATAATACAACGTGACGTCATTTACGACGTCACGTCATTTAGTTGGTACCAAGTTCTGTGCACGCTGGTATTTCACTGAAACAACGTAAGGGGCTTAAATTCAAAACAGTGAAATTATCAAAGTGGTAATTTCACTGTTTCAAACAGTGAAATTACCAGTTTTATATCACTGATATATTTCTATAAACCACCGAAAAGCATGTAATAAATAGTTTGTTTTGCTCTCTCAAGCGCTCTGAACAAATTAAACATTAACTTTGTTATTTGTTTGTTGTTGTTTTTTGGAGACGATGTGTTATCAGAGACATAGATAACATAGATGTTATCTACATCTCTGGTGTTATAAGAGAAGAATAATTTATGTCAGAAATTCACAGCGTAATTTACATATTAAGTGTGAATTTATATACAAACAAATAAAAAATGGGACACAGAAATTAGAAATATGGACAAAGAATATTAAAATATTAATTTAAAATTGTATCAATGTATTTTACATGTAAGAATAAATAATTTACATGAAATGGAATTGTATTTGCTACATGGCGGTTATCCCCTGCCATAACCTTGGTATGAATAAAACAATGTAGCTACATAAAATACCCATAATGTGTTTAGTAAAGGAAAGAGCATCGAAACACAAGGCTATCTGATTTGTACAAGGGGGCGTAGATACAAAAGAATATTGTATCATAGTTTGGAGACCTTTCAGCTGAAAATGTGTCAGAGTTAAATCGTATACAA